TGTATGCGCATATGTGCACAGTGTGCATGTGTGTGTACATGTGTGTACGTGTGTGTGTGTGTGTGTGTGTGTGTGTGCATATGTGCAGTGTGCATGTGGAGTCTGTCCTTCCATCTTCACAGGGGTCTGGGATTGAGCTTGAGTCACCAGGCTAACATGGCAAGTACCTTTGCACGTTGAATCATCTCTAGGGTTTTTCTTTTTGTTTTCGAGGTAGAACCTCACTATGTAGCCCAGGCTGGCCTGAAACAGCATAGTCCTCTGATCTAACTTTCCAGTGCTGGAATGACAGGTGTGTCACCCTGCCGGGCTCTCTATTAGTTATTACTGTTTCAGATTAAAAAGGGCTATACTGTATTTTTAAACTCTGATTTGTCATTTATTAGCTGGTATTTCTTCTCTAGGAAATGCCTATATTTTTATATAATTTGCACCTTTGCACAACTCCAGTTTCTGCTGGTCACAGACTTTGTTTTGTCTACTGCAGAGGTGTGGACAGAGGCTTTCCGGGTAACGCACACCTCAGAGAAGGTTGTGGCTGATGAGAGTGTGTCTGTCATTTGCACAGTAGTTGGTGATGTTAGTGATTGAGATCTCATGTAAGTTCTCTACCAGAATGAGAATAAATTGATAATTTTATTAAAAAAAAGCAAAACTAAAAATTGACTAATAAGCAACAATTAATGAAATACGAGGAAACCCTGCACACTAAGCGGTTCTGCAGTGTATCTAACAGTTTTCTGTCTGTACCAGACTGGATTGGTGAGCGAGCAGCTTGTAGAACACAGTCCGCCTCACAGATGGAGTGCACATGCTTACCCCCGCCTCAGCCTTCCCTGGCTCCTGGAGGTTTCCCTCTTACAAATTCCTGTCCAGCACCTCTTGGGCCTTGAGATTATACTCTTGGGTCTATTGAAAATACAAAGGCAGCATTTATAGTATTGTCTGTGTCTGTCGTGTGTATGGATGGACCTGTAGGGAAGTAGATGTAATTCTCTGTCATTAAGTCGGTGCCACTTGAGAGACAAGTACAACAAACGACAGAGACACAGTGGAAGGTGAAGGGGGCTGTTTCTAAGAATGTAGTCATGTACTTTTATTTTAAATTTGGGGTTGGGGGGAGGGTTAAGACAGAGCTTCTCCGTGTAGCCCTGGTTGTCCAGGAACTCACTTTGTAGAACAGGCTGGGCTTGAGTTCACAGAGATCCACTTGCCTCTGGGCACTTTTAGTTTCTAGTTGAGATGGTTCAGGTCATTTAACCTCACACCTTCTAGAAAGAGAAGTTCTTAAAGGCATTATTCTTGGAGTCCTTAGCTTCCTCTTCCCTCTTGGCTTCCCCTCTTCCTCTCATTCACTGTGTTCATTTCCTTACCTATAGAGACACTTTGGCTGTGTTGCCCGGGTTGTCTGGATCCCTTGGGACAGGCAGTCCTCGGAGGTCACCTCTCAGGTAGCTGGGACACACCTCAGCTCTTCAGCATATGTAAGTTAAGCGCTAGTGTGTATCTGGAAGCTCTGTGTGTTTCTCATACAGAGGAAAAAGGCAAACAGAGGCCACATACAGAAAATGACTGGTCGGGGGTCGTTGAAGAGAGAGGAGGGTGAGAAGAAGGCAGGCTTGGTCACCTGGGGAGTCCCAACTGCAGAGGCCTAGTTAAAGTGATGTTCAGAGAGCACGACTCTGTACAGTCAGTGGTGACAAGGACTGGGTGGGGACTGTGTGGAGACAGGATGCCTCCAGGAGGTGTGAGCGAGTCTCTGCATCAGCTTCTAGTGCCTTCTCTCGGGCTCTTCTCCTTCTGGGTGTTTGTTTTGTCCTATTCCGATTTGCTGGTCTTGTTTTATCTTATTTTTTCTTCTTATCCCTTAGGAGCCTTTTTTTTTTTTTTTGGTTTTTCGAGACAGGGTTTCTCTGTATAGTCCTGGCTGTCCTGGAACTCACTCTGTAGACCAGGCTGGCCTCGAACTCAGAAATCCACCTGCCTCTGCCTCCCAAGTGCTGGGATTAAAGGTGTGCACCACCACTGTCCGGCGCTGTTTGTTTTCAGTAAGAGGCAGAAAGGAGGTAGATCTGGATGTGAGGGCATGGGGAGGACCTGGGAGGAGTACTGGGGAGGACCTAGGAGGAGTAGAGGCAGGGGAAACTATAGTCAGGATGTATTATGTGAGAAAAAGATCAATTTCAATAAAAGAAAAAATCAATTTAATTGGGCAAGACGTGTATTCATATGCATACACAAATGCATGTGTCAGCTTGTAGTCTCACTAAGGAAAACACATTTGAGGAAAGATGAGATTGGAAAAGTGGTGGAGGGGCAGCCTGGGCTGAACCAGTGAACACATTTATTCAGAGGAGGCAGGAGAGATGAAGGGCTGGGGCCTGGTTGCAGAAATCTGAATGTCCAGTTAAAATCCAGGTGGTTCTCTAGCATGTGGGACCTTTTAGAAGTATCAGTTCCAATCAAGCATTTGTGGGTAACACTGGCACATTGCACAGCTCTCGAGAGCTGTCTGTGCCTCTCAAGGAACAGTATGAACCATGAGCTCACACCCCTGGGTGGTGCTTGGCAGTTAGGCATGACGATTCTGAATCACGTGACTGTTTAAGCCGGCTGCTTATTCTCAGCTGTACACACTCTGTCCCTCAGGAGAACATACACACCCAACAAGGGGTACGTCCTGGGTGCTGTGCAGGTGTGGAGCATGTGTGCGTGTAGACCCTAGAGAAGTGAAACAGACGAACTGGTGTGTAGTGAGGGTGTCATACTACAACCCTTACCAAAAGGTTGCAGCTGTTCTATTACACACAGGAAAATTGAGGATTGCAGGGGTCAACTCCAGGGCATACCGCTCCTCATTACAAGGCGGGACCCAGGCCTGGATCTGTCTTTTCCCACACCTGATGCTCAGTCAGAGCCTTGTCCTTTGGGGCTGTCAGAGGTCTGTGCCGCAGGGATAACTGAGTGTCCAGTGCAGAGCATGAGTCCGTCAGTAATGAAAGGCGCTCTCAGTGGAGGCCAGTTGGAAAGAGGATCTGCTAGCATGCAGAAATACAGAAAATGGGCCAGGAGGGTTCCTTACAGCCAGGCAGAAATGTCCACTAGGATCTGGGGAGATGGCTCATAGCACCCTAGAACTGAGTGCATGTGGCCCTCAGGGAGCGTGAGGAACAGTGATTTTATCAGAAGTGAGTCATCTGACAGCTCGAATCAGAGTCGCCCTGAGCATAGCTGAGGCTGTCCATGTGCTTTCTCTGATGTGCCTGTTCCAGAGTCCATACAAGTGAAACATACCTGAAGATTTGGGTTTGAACATTGTAAACGACCCAATGAGAGTGCTGGTGGTAACCTGAGCAGTGTCTGAGGCTCCAGGTTTCTGCCAGTGACTCCTAGGGAGGGAGAAAATGGGAAAACTGCCCCAGGAGTCTGGAGGCATCCTGGTAGAAAAGGAAGCATCTATCTGAAGTGGGAAGCATTCGTTCATTTAGGAAAGGAAGCATCTTTCTGAAGTCTTGGGTCTGTTCGTGCATTTATGCATCTACACACTGCCTGGAGCAGTTCCCAGCAGGTGGAGGCTGGCTCTCTCTCTCTCTCTCTCTCTCTCTCTCTCTCTCTCTCTCTCTCTC